TGCTGCGTTCAGCAGAGACAGAAGGGACAAACCCAGTGCAGTATGTCTCCTCAAAGGGCCCCCTACCCACCACCGTCGGCCAGCCTCAGCTGGGGGCCCCCCTGGGGCCCCCCCTAGGGGCCCCCCCTGTGGGGGGCCCCCAGGGTGGGGGCCCCCCTATGGGGGCCCCTGTAGGAGCAAGTAACGCCAGGGCTTATGCGGTGCAGCAGCAGCAGCAGCAGCAGCAGCAAGGAGACAGCAGTGGTGAGTACCCTACACAAGGCTTACCTCGGGGGCCCCCCAGGGCGGCCCCCGAGGGGGCCCCCCGAGAGGGGCCCCTCGGGGGGCCCCTGGCGTACCCTGTGGGGTACCTTGGGGGCCCCTAGGGGGCCCCCAGGAGACTGAGTGGATATATCGTTCTGTTTGGTTCCACCTTGCAGTATACTGCGACGTCCTAGGGTTTAGGGTTTAGGGTTTAGGGTTTAGGGTTTGGGGTTTAGGGTTTAGGGTTTGTGTTTTTTTTCAGAGCCCGGGGTGTATGCAGGGTCTCTAGGGGCCCCCAACTCCTCCTGCGAGCTTTCTACTATCAAACCCAAAACCATTGGGGGCCCCCCAGGGGCCCCTGAATCATACGGGGGGCCCCCAGGGGCCCCTGGCTTATACGGGGGCCCCCCAGGGGCCCCTGGCTTATATGGGGGGCCCCCCGGGGCCCCTGGGTTATACGGGGGGCCCCCCGGGGCCCCTGGGTTATACGGGGGGCCTCCCGGGGCCCCTGGGTTGTATGGGGGGCCCCCGGGGGCCCCTGGTTTGTATGGGGGGCCCCCCGAGGCCCCTCACATATACGGGGCCCCCCAAGAAGGGCACAGCCCGCCAGAGATCGATGCCTCACGGGGGGCCCCCCGCTGGCCAGCTGAACCCTCTTCGGGGGCCCCTGATGTTTAGGGGGCCCCCCTGCAGGGGGGCCCCCGTCCTGGGGGGCCCCCAGGGGGCCCCCCTAGATGGGGGCCCCTGCAGTATATGGAGAGCCTCCAGGGCCCCCTGAACGGCTATTGGTATATTTTTAATATATATATATA